TTTGATGTATGCTAATAAAGGAGAGCCTGGGAGGGAGAGACGGCACTTTTGCTTTTTGGATTTCTTCTCTCTCGACTCTCATCCGAGGCAGCCTTGTGTCTGTCTTTTCTTTACCATGAGAGTCCATTACAACTCATGAATCGGCCCCCGGACGAGGTCAGAAACCAAGCCGGGAGACTCAAGTCCTGGTTTTTCTACACTTCAGGCGCTTTGGAGAATAGCTTGCCCCCTCTTCTTTGGGGCAACCCCTGAGATATTGGAACATTGCTATCCTGTCACCCCTAGTCCTTCTTTTCACTCAACTAGATATACCCAATTCCTGCAACGGTTCTTCATATGTTTTAGCCTCCAGTCCCCTAATCATCTTTGTTGCTCTTCTTCTTTTGACAAGGTTTTTTTTAATAAAAGGGAGAACCTTTACCTGGGCCTTCTGAAGGAAGTGGAATCAGAAACATGTGGACCAGATATTTCTAAATGATATGGATGTGAAGGAGCACCATTCACCCTTACCTTTTTGGCTCAGATATCCCTGAATTCCATTGCTGCACTTGGAAAAGGCTATATTGTACAAGAAAAGTAACAGTAGGAAGAAGATAGAGAAGGGGGCAGAGTTATACTTCTGCACCCCCCTTCCTATGTTCATGGCTGTATGGTGGAACATGCCAAGTGTCCCATGGAGCAGGAAAGAAAATGTGCACAAGGCAGGGAAAATAAATTAAATGCATACAATGGGGAAAGTAAGAGTAGAAAAATAGCAGGTATGGAGGCTTGCCGGAACACGAATCTTTTATACCCAGTACATGAGTTACAAGAAGTTTTTTTCTTTTGCAAATTGGACAGGGCAAATCAGTTCTTTGAAATTTGGGCAGTTCAAGATGTTGAATGTAAACAATGGACAGCTAAGAAACTGAGAAACAGAGAGACTTGTGCAGAAAAAGAGGACCAGACAATGACAGGCATTGGAAGGGAAGGTCCTGTAGCAAGTTACAGAATAACAGAGCTGGAAGGGATCTTGGAGGTCATCTAGTCCAGGGCTTTTCAACTTTTTCACCCATTGTACCACTTTTAGGATATGGCAACATCCGAATACCACCAGTCGCCTACCAAGGTGTCAAAAACTTGACCAAAAAAAAAAAGGGAAAAAAGTGATGAAGTACTGGTAGTCCTCGACTTACAATAGTTTGCTTAGTGACTGTTTGAAGTTACAGTGGCACTGAAAAAAGTGCCCCCCAAGCCACAGCCGAGCAAGACACCTGCCTACCCACCCGGCCGCATTCTTCCTCCTATCCGAGGTTTTATTGTTGTGAGCATTTCTGTTGAGGATTGGCAGCAGGGGTGGGGTGGGGGGTGTTTGGTTTTTATTCCCCCCATCTGCTGGGTGGTTGCAGCAGGTTTTGGTCACTTCACATGACCCTGGGACACTGTGACCATCATAAATATGAATCAGTTGCCAAGCATCTGAATGTAAATCACAGGACCCTGGAGATGCTGCACCATTCCAGCTGATCGGCGCTTCTTCTGGGCTCAGCAGAAGTACCAGGATCAGCGCCGAGCTCCAGCTGGAGCCTGGCGCTGATCCTGGTGCTTCCGCTGAGCCCTGACAGCCCTGCAGCTCCAGCCATCTCTCACTCAGGCTTGTGCGGTGCTACCACCGGTTCAGCTGATTCCCCTCCCCTGCTACCACTTTTCTAGGATGGCCGCGTATCACCTGCCAGGTGCCAACGTACCACAGGTGGTACCCATACCACTGGTTGAAAAGCCCTGTTCTAGTACAACTCAAGCAGGAGACCCTATACCAGGGGTAGGCAACCTTGGCTCTTTTATGACTTGTGGACTTCAAAACTCAGAATTCCTGAGGAATTCTGGGAGTTGAAGTCCACGAGTCATAAAAGAGCCAAGGTTGCCTACCCTTGCCCTATATCATTCTAGACAAATGGCTATTCAGTTTCTTCTTAGAAACCTCCAATGATGGAGCACCCACAATTTCAGGCAAGTGGTTGTCCAATCTCTTCTTAGAAACCTTCCAGTGATGGTGTGCCCACAACATCACAACCCACAACTGTTAAGGACTCCTTACCTGGATGCAGTGAGTCTGGTAAGAGAAGACGGTTGCTTTGAGTGGGAAGGCTTCTCCTCGCACCACGGAATAGGGCATGGTGAGTTCAATGAAGAATGGCTGAAAGGCCTTCAGAGAAGTGGGCTGGGCCAGGCCGAAGCCGGTGTCTGCTGAAAGACAGAAAGCTCCAGCTTTCCATTCGGTGATGGTGTCCGGGATGGTGACAGGAAGAGACACGTTTTTAGAATCCCTGAAGGACAGAAGAGATCAGCAAGTGAGGAGAAGGGTGTCACGGTTCCGACTAATGAAACACTTCAAAGAACTTCCAGGCATGTTTATCCTAAAGTCTTTATTAACAGTGTAACAAATCGACGGCACATCATGGATGTATGCCAGAATCTGAATTTCTCTTGCTTGCGTCTAACTTTTCTTTCTAAACCCCTCCCTTATTTTGCAGTCATAAGTCACATCTTCCAATTAGCCCGGAGGGCAAAGATTCACTTCCGTTCCTTTTTCCCGGGCTTTCCTTGTGAATCTCCTCCCTCACTCTGTCATCTGAATGAACTCTAAAAATACCAGACACTTCTGTATATCTTGTCAAAGCAATAATATCATATATTAACAGCGTTGACAAAGGGATTCCAAAAACCTGGCACCGAGGAACCAATGGAGGGACAATACATAGCATCTCAATTACAGATAATCCATAATTAACAACAGCAATGGGACCGCAATTTCCATCGCTAAGCCATGTGGTTTTAAAGCAAAATGTCATGTCAGTGAAAGCAGTTCTGGTTGCCATCATTATGTGGATCCCATGCTATTTGTTAAGCGTGATATAACCTGCTTACCACTTGCATCCTCCTGCTGGCTTCTCTATTGAATACATGATAGCGTGTGTTCATGCTATCTATCCCACATGATACCCTACATGATCACAATTTTCCAATATCTAAGGGGCTGTCACAAAGAATAATAATAATAATAATAATAATAATAATAATAATAATAATAATAATAATAATAATAATAATAATAATAATAATAATAATAATAATAATAATAATAATAATAATAATAATAATAATAATAATAATAATAATAATAATAATAATAATAATAATAATAATAATAATAATAAAGTTGGAAGGGACCTTGGAGGTAATCGAGTCCAACCCCCTGCCCAGGCAGGAACCCTACACCATTTCAGACAAACGGCTGTCCAGTCTCTTCTTAAAAACTTCCAGTGTTGGAGCATTCACCACTTCTGGAGGCAGGTTGTTCCATTGGTTAATTGTTCTAACTGTCAGGAAGTTTCTCCTTAGTTCTAAGTTGCTTCTCTCCTTGATCAGTTTCCACCCGT